GATCAACCGCTGATCAAGGTGGCGATAAAAATCGTAGTACTTCGAATTCGCCATGTTTTAGCCTTGTTGTAGTGATTTGCATTGCGGTGTGGGAAACCCCATTCTATGGAATGATGCAAGCAGGACAAAAGCTGGGGATTGTGTACATCGGAAAGGCTGGTGGCAAGGTCTGTGCGGAAACGTTTTGACTGGTTTCATTTACTTACCTGTATTTGATCGGATCAAGAACTACGAGTTGATTTGTAATCAGGCAATTTAATTTGTAGATGTTCTCATGATCAGTTATTTCAGTCGTCTCATAAGCAGTTCACTTGTTTGATTTGTCATGTGCAGATTGCAGCTTATGTTAAAGAATCTTTATATCTATTAATATATTCACTCTTAGGAAATGTAGTTCGAATTATTGATGTATAGTTTAGAGTGTAACCAAATTATTCCTGACATGCAAGTGAAAGGGGAACCTTTTTCAGCTTAAATATCTAAATCTCATTTGTAGGTGAAGTCTCATGTAAGATTTACAGCGCCCACAAGGCTTAGAGGAGGGATTTACAGTATTCAGTGACATCCTCTGGGGGGAGTTTTCACCGAGGAATTTCTTTAGTTACTCATTGCTATTATTATTATCATCAATTTATAGTGGATAGCCAAAATAGTGGACTCTAACAAAGTGAATAATATATCAATATATTGCAATGTAAACTTGTAAGTGGAATTCCATACTTATAAGAGGTTTTGTTACAGTACACATGATGACAACTGCTGTTGGGCTGCAGAGCCTATTATAAAGTTTAATGGCCCAAGGCATCAAGGAGCTAAAGTTGCAGCATAAAAAATCCACATAGCAGAATAATTCCCCCAGTTTGCTCCTTTGTAGGTTATCTTTGGTGGTTAGTACAGATCCAATCTCTGGGGCCACTCTGCTAGAAAAGACCATTTTTTATTGCTTAAATCTTCATCACTCATTTGATGCATTTTCTGAATGTTTTGTTAATAAGCACTATGACAGGATGTGAATTACCTTTTGTTAACTCATAACAATTTTTTTGTGCTTTAACATCACTCAAATTTTTTGTCTTACTCCTTGTTTTTCTTCATACCATCCTTTGTAGCACAAATATTCTCTTCTTGACGAAAAAGATGTTCATCTAGTGAAAAAGTTTAGATTTGAGGTGGGTGATTTCATTTTTCTCTTCCCACACTAACTCAGTGAAACCTTACAGTGTTTATCAATTCTTTTTTTGCGTTACCAATGCAAGGTTCATCCAAAATCAAGGGTCTGCGCATTAAGTTATGGATCTCATTTTTTCAGCTGATATTTATAGCAGTAGGGAAAAGCATTCAGACTATAAATCCAAGGGGTAAGAAAACAGGGGTCTGTACTTACTGTAGTGACCAAGGTAACGAGATTGGTACAATATTTAATCTATCTCTTGATTCAAATAGACAGGAAGAAATCTAATCAAACAAACTTTTGAATTTAGCAGGCCATACAGTGAAATGCTGCCTGCTAAATTGACCTACCATATTGCAGATTTTAATTGAGAGATATAATCTGCTACATTATTGTTTGTTGTTTTGTAACTGGAATACAAAACATAGTCATTTTAAGCAAAGACGCTTAATATTCAAAGATGCTCATGTGCCTGTAAGGTGTCTCTGAAAAATGACTTATTAATACTTGATTTGCATTTGAAAATTTTACATAGCATCATGCTATTACACTTGTATGCTGTATGGATTCCTTTTCCCTGTTTTTAGTTTGTGGATTTACGGTAAAAGCTTTGTATTGTTTCATCAGGCAAAAGTTGATGTCAATAAAGATGGTAATGGTGCTAACATCTTTGCATATGCATTTGACTTGTCAAGAGAAGGAACAAGTGGATGCTATTTCCATGAATATATTTGGTAAGGAAGTGTTTTGTTGCCTCTCTGACTAGCCCTTAAGAGAGAATGTTTTCCAATCATTAAATAAACAAGAATGTTGTTAAATAGTAGTGAATCTTGCCTTTTTTGTTTAATAAAGGTAACTCACCCTTGAATAACTTATGAATTCTAAGGCTTGGCATTTGTCTGGCAAAAATTCTGAGAACAGTAGTCTAATTTACTTAGTACATGTATAAAGAAACGATAAATAAATAATTAGTTCAGTTAACTGAAAGGGACCTTAAGGCATTTACAACTACACACTTCCAATAGTGAAACATTACCTTAGATGAACATGTGAAATCTGTTGTCTAAAGTAAAGTGGTGTAATGATACATACCTGTGACTGTATTGCACCATATTATTTGTATGTGCAAAACCATGACTGGTCTTCATAGAGATAATCATGACAATATGATAATTGGCTGTATATATTGAAAGTTCATAATTTGAAAGTATTTTCCTAACAATCAAAACAATGTAGAATGTAATGGAAAGTCGTGGAAGAACTTATGATGGATTTTTTTTATGCATTGTCTGATCTAAACAGGATGTAAAGCTTAGGGTGGAGTTTGCATGACCAGAATCATTTCATTTGTTTATCTTCTCCAAACACTTCATTTTTACATTTAATACCTTTGTTCTTGTTTTTACCTTAGGGAGAGACATTGTGGTGGCATAGCACCTGGCTTTAGAGTTTGTCACAAAAATGGTGTAACAGTTGGTAAGTTATTAGAAATTTTAAAAAATCATTTCTGAAACAAAATGTAAGGATAAGGAATTGCCTTTGAGTTTTCAGCATCCTGATAAAGTCATTAATTCAATGAGCACATATTAAGTTTAAAAACCCATTTGAGTCAATTCAGAGAGTGGCTATTATCATTAATTGGATTAAAGATGAATGTTATTTATCTTTAGTTATTGTTTTAATTTTACATACAAACAATTTTTGTGCCTACTGATGTTAGAGATGTTACGGTGTTGTGTAAGTCCGTAATACTTTCTCAAAAGGTGTTTGCCACTTCCAAAGTGGCAAAGTTTTGTATAAAATACATTTGATGCACATTCAATAAATGTATTTATTCTGTCCCCAGCCTGTCAATTAACCAATGCACAAGTCTGTTCCAGTAAATGCCTCCTTTTATCACAATTTTGGCTTTAACAACAGCTGTTCATTAGCCCCTTTTGATTTTACACCACATTACTCTTTTACTGCATTTATACTCTACAGCTGTACAACAGTAGGCACATGCTGTCATAGACTGACTTTTATTTAATTAGTCTTCAGAAACTTCTCTTAAATGATTGTCTGTTATCATATTTTACTGTTGTGCATTGCAACTATTTGAACAGCTTTCAGGAAAATGATATGAACTTTTTCTACCTTCATCATTTTGTTATTTCACAGACAACAGATTAAATAACTTGTGTGTAGTACCATCCCCTCAAAGCAAAGACTCAAAAGTAAAGTCCAGCAGTGCTGATAGGTACAGCAGATATGTCATCATCATCATCATAATTATTAAGTTATTATCATTGTTGTTATCATTATTTTGACATTAACTAAGATTTTAATGTTATGAAGTGGAAAATTGTCAATTGGTGATGACTCAAGATGTAGGGGGAGGCTTAAGCAAGCCTAATTGTGATCTCTTAGTCTTCCTCTTTCTGCTGTAAGAGTTTGAAGACAAAATTTTTTTCAAAAGGCAACTAATACTAATAACCTCTAACACTAGAATATTAAGTTCCAAAAACATGGGAATTTTTTAAATTTGTATTTCGATTCCTGAGTTACCTCAGATGAGTAGTAAGCAACTGGGAAAGTCTTTCTTGCAATCTATTGTGGAGGAATGTCCTTATTTATCCCTTGGTGGAGCATATTTCTGGGTATCTACTTACCATAGTGTAGAACTTAACAATTGTTTGCATTTTATTTTTACTTACTAGTCATGGCAGTATAAGGGTGATTGAATACTGAATTTTACATTTCAGTGCTGGTCATAGTAATAACTGTGGGAGTGAACCTAGGGAGGACCAAAGATTATACTGGATGGCTGTGTGTAGACTGCCTCCATTTGAGGCAGAGCATGAGGTACAAGAGCAAGTCATCTGCGAACTTTTGCTTACTGTTTTTAACCCTGTACACCATAAGATCAGTTTGCCTATTCTCCATACTGTTTTTTTTACACATTTCTTAAGGTAATAACAAGGATAATTTGTTTAACGAACAAGAGCACCTTTAGTTTGTGATCATTTCCTCTATTCTTTTGACCTTAGTGTGTGATTCAGGGGTGATGTTGTGAGGAGAAATTACATGCTAAACACTCTGAGAGGTCAAATGGTTTATGGTTGAAATCTATAGATGGTAAAACATCAAGTGAAGACAGTCAGCAAAAGAGCTTATTAGTAACAAATTTTTAATTTATTAGTTGCTTTAAGGGGAAGATCAGAACCAATGAAATGACTCATGATGAGAATTGTTTGCTACAAAGGGTTCTTCCATTGTTAGTCAGCCTTTTGCTATGGTATTGGCTGGCTAGGGTATATTTTAGATTTATTCATGTACACATGTAATGCGAAAGACATCATTAACTTGATGAGACGTAAAACAAGGATCATAATTCATTGATGATTGCAATAATCAACTACACCAACAGCAGTTACCCAGCATACAACATAATATTAACTATTGACTGAGTGGGAGGGCCAGGTGGGAAAGTATTTGGCTTAAGTTCATAGTGTATGAGCTGAGTGGAGTGAGGTCTGTGTGTCATGACCTAGAGCTTGGTTCCTTACGTCTTATTAACTTTGGACATGACTTTTATTCTGTTAAATTCACAGCATTTTATGAATTTAAACTACAAGTGTTATAATGCAAATGGGGAACAAGTATTAGAAGAAGGTAAGAAAGTTAAATTTGTTCAATCTATAATTTCCCAATGGTCAGTGATGCAAACTTCACTTTTTTTTTCAATGTCTGTCTGTCTGTCTGTCTGTCTGTCTGTCTGTCTCAACATCTAAGCAGTGTTCAACATTGTGAGTGCCGTACTTTTTATTGTATTTCAATTCAAATAATTGTGTTTTCAATCAATTTTCCCTGGTTGATGATCATTCAAACAGCTTGAAATAGTAACTGAGGCAATAATAGTGGCAGAGTGGAAATGCCAGGGAGGTTTGGGTCAGGTTAATAAAGAACTCATTGTGACCCGCCCCAAACCTCCCTCATAATTCACTCCTCAACAACTGCCACAGCGGTAACCATCATACTATGTTTTACTTACTGAAAACCCGGAACAGGCTAGCCAATATTTACCTTCTATTGATGCGATGAAGTGTTTATATTGTAGTTGGAGTATTATGGGTGCTTATTGACTACCTCAAGGAGTGAAATATCAGGATTGTGTATCATATTACATTATGTACCATTAATATTTGAAATTTTCCTGAATTTTCTTATCTTTCTTCCAGACGATACCTTATCTTTTTATGAGTGCCACTACCCCCCTTGCTGTAAAATGGAAACTGAGGTCAGTCTTATCTCTTGATTAGTGGATCATCAAACTTAAAGCCCAGTGTCCAGTTACTGAAAATGTTACAACTGGATATTTCTCCCCTCCTTGCTGGCCTTCCTGAGCTTATGATGATTAGTTGATTTAGTAGACAAGTTTATAATTTTTTTTGTTTGAGTTAAGTGTACCTCTGAGGCCTTAAAACCTTGAACCTGTTTAGTAGCAAAATCTTCTTGTTTTGCCACTTTGTTTGACCCTTTACATCTTAACATCAGTCTGCATATTCTCCATACTGTTCTCTATACATTTCCTAAGTTGCTGACAAGGAGAGTTTGTATGACAATTAAGAGCCTCCTTTATTAGTGATCAATTCCTTTATTCTTGTGACCTTAATATTTGATTTAGGGATGATGTTGTAAGGAGAAATTGGATGCTAGTCACTCTTAGGGGTTAAAACAGAAGATTTGAAAATTTATTATGACTTGTGGCATCTTTACCTCTTTGAGCCAAATGCATGAATTTTAGACAGAATATTTACAACTAGATTTGAAAACTTATAAACTATAAGTAATGTACATATATATCACATGTTGCCAATTCACACCCTCTGCTGAAGGCCTCCAGTCCAGATAGAAAAATTTTACATCCTATGTTAAACTCAGGACTTTTGCAAACCATACCCTGTTTGGAAGTACATACCCATTTTCTGAGTGCCAAGTAGTTCAGTACCCACCTTCCCCCCTGAAAAAATGTTCTCCCAGCTTAACCCTTTACACCCTAACAATAGCATTCATATTCTCCACACTGATCTCTCCACATTTCCTGTGGTAATGACAAGGAGAATTTGTTTGACAATCAGGAGCTTCTTAAATCGGGATTCATTTTCTTTATTCTCATGATCTTTACATTTCATTCAAGGGTGATACTGTAAGGAGAAATTAGGAGCCAGACACTCTTATGCACTTAAGGGTGAACTGCAATTATGCAAGTGTGGAAAATTAATTAAACATTTTAATCAAGTGTGAGAGCTGTAGGCTGAGTTCCAATTTGCTCTTTTATTTTTGAACCTCTGTCCTTACAATGTTTATTGCCTTTATTTTGGTGCTGAGAATATGATTATTTCATTGAAATTCATGTTTATTCTTTGGTTGTAGCTACGGGAGTTCAGTATTTGTGGACAGTGCCAGCAAGTCAGATACTGTGGACCTCTTTGTCAAGAGGTGGGTCAGTGAACAGAAAATAATTAAACAGTTTCAGTTTAAAATTTTAGAATTGTGATTTGTATAGTCCACTGTTTTACAGATTGGAAGTAAAGTAAATAGTGTCTAATAATAATTGTAGTAACTAAACAAGTAATGAGAATACTCAAAATTATCAGCTAGAAGTTATTATCTTGATGTAACACCAAATTCTCATAACCAATTTACAAGGAAATGTGTAACAGCCAGAGTGGGAAATTAACTAACAAATCTTGGGAGTTAAAGGGTTAATCTGAAGATGATGCCCAAACCTGATTTAAATTTGAAATGAGACATCGTGAACTTAACCACTGGATGGTAATTCTTGTGTTTGATTTCTACAGAGAGATTGGCCTTCCCACAAGAAGTACTGCAAGGAAAAGGCTCGACAGAGAATTAATTGTGACATGTTCCCTGAGCGTTAGACTGAAGTTTGATGGCTGTTTCATTAGTTACGTCAACATGTATGCTTCACATGTCACATTATTATTACTTTCAACTTTTATGATATTAGAGTATCCTTAGTTTATTTTGTTGCTCAATTCTAAAGCACAAATGATTGAAGCGAACTTTAGAGACTGCACTTGTCATTTATTGTGTACTTAAAAAGGATTAACATGCATTCTCTCTAGTTTGGCTTTAGAATTCAAAAAGAGTTTGTGTTTGTAATAGGCTCAATTGGTTAGAAAGAACACTATTTACATGACTGTACATGTCACTGTACTGCTCTCTTTCAAATTAGGTTTATTTATATATGCTTGTTATTTTTGAAGTATAATGCAACCTTCAATTTGACAAGTTGTAGTGTAAATCCCTTGAATTAGATATTGAAGTGAAGCTGATATATCAGGACTAATACCCTGTTCCAGGTGTTCAGTTGATGAAATGAAGCAAAATGTCAAATGGCACAACAGTAGCAAAGGAGTGAAAAAGCAAGAGAGGTCTGGGTCAGGGTCAGGTAAAGTTCATTACATGACCCAAACCTATGTCTTTCTTTCACTCCTCTGCTGCTGTAGCACTGTTTCCTATGGTGATACATTTTACTAACTGAACATCTGATACAGGCTGCATGACTAAAACCATTTTCAAGACACCTCTCTTGGTTAAAAGTTATTTATTTCCACACTCTTATCTTGAGATAAACTTTCTTAAGAAATTGCTCCTGATAATTTTCAAAACATTTGTTGTTGCACCTTTAGTGTTAAGACTATACTTTCTTTTGACCAGACTTAATTAACAGGAACTTTCTTTTCCCATCTTTGGGCATGGTATCCTGTTAATCTAACACAGCTCACGACAAAATGTTAATTTCAGGAGAGGTGTCTTCTTGTAGCTCATGCACTTAACCCTTTCACTCCTGGGTATGGCCAAAGAGTAGTTGCTCCTTACAATATCATTATGCGATCACTCAGACAGATGAGAATAGAAATAAATGACAACTACGAGATATTATTAGATATTATTAGAGTTAGCACCAAATTCCTAGAACTGAAATTGTAGAAAATGTATGGCAGACAAAGCAGATAATTGATATTTAGAACTTGGGAGTGAAAGAGTTAAGTATTTGTTGCTCTGTTTATTGTTTGATCCATGGTGGAACTGTACAGTTATTGAATAATGAATTAAATCACTATTGACATGTTTATATTATTTGTTCCATGTTTTGTTGTGATTTTTCATCTGATTTTGGGGTGGGGAGGGAAATGTGAGCTATGCCTTCTATTATAACATAGCCTGTCCTAGGCAATTGGTGTGTGTATATGTTTGAAAAGAGGGGGCAAGCGAGAGAAAAAACAAGGAAAGTTCACTCCTCCTTCAGAGGATGTGCCCTAAAGGAGAGAAAGCTAGAGAAAAAACAAGGCAGGTTGACTCCTCCAATGGAAACCCTGCTGAATATCTCTTGTCTAGCCATTTTTTAACCCCTTTTTACCAGAAGCATTGCTCTGTCCATCACACCTCTAATCATTTCCATGCTAATGACTGTGGAAAAGTGGCAGATCCACACCTTAAGCCTTAAGTAATGTGGGCACACCCTGATTGGCTCCTTAAACTCTTAATATCCTTTACTATCCACCTCCAAGCAACTTGCACAGGATTGGCACCCAAAATATTGTAAAAACAAAATTATCTTTTAGTGCTATATTATCTCACTGTTTAAGTAACTACAGTATCAATTGTTCACTGCAGTGTCAGTGGCTAACAGTGGGTATTTACCTCTCTACTTTGAGGTTTGCTAAGTCTTCACCACTAGCCACCTCCATTTCAGAGAATAGTTGTTGATTATTCTTTGCAGCATAACCTTATAACCCACAAAGGTAATCTAATATTGCTCAAGAATTCATAATACCAACTCAACAAGCCACAACTTGAGAGGAAGTTGGGGAAAACAACATCAACTATGTTTCTGAAAGTCATTTTTATTAACCATATCTACATCTGAAGCTTCCATAATTATTCAGTCTCAACCAAGGCATTTATCTCTTTAGACAGTTCATTTACTTGCTCAATTATTTTAACTCTGTCTTGTGAATCTAGCCTGTTACCACATCTTTGAAGAAATTTATCAGGATGCCATCTCACTTGCTGTTCTTTCAAAAACTTTCTTTTTTCTTCCATCGTTTTAATTTCTGACCAATTTTCCAAAAGGGCAATCATGTCTTTGGTACCACCCTTTGTGGGCCACGGTATATCAACGAACGTGAGGTTTACTGTCGAATTACTGCAGAATACTGCTGTGCAGTTGGATTCATAATCTGCTAATGATTTTGAAAGTTTCAATTTTTGACGTTCTACGGACATCCGCGTTACATAAGCTTCGTGTTCCTTCTCAAGTTGTCTGGTTCGTTCTCTCGCCTTCTGTTCGTTTTCATTTCGTAGCCGGCTTGACTTTCTTGTTTCTCTCTTCTGTTGCTTCTTCGCTTCAGTTTTTTGTCTTCTTTCGTACGTAATTCTATCAGCCCACTCATCATATGTTTCTTTCATGTTATCAATGTAATCATCCTGGCAATATTTACTGTAACTTTCTTTTGACTTTCTTCAAACTGTAGTTTTCTTTTCCCACTCAAGATCTTCCTTCAATCTTGACTTCTCCTCGTGCTCTTTATGCCATCGCTCTTTCCTTTCAGCCTCTAGTTCTTCCCTTCTCTGAGCATATGCCCTTTTTAAATCCGTAAGGTACTCTCTGGGCGTTTTTTCCTCATTGTTTCTTTCGTCAAGAACATGGGGATTGTCACAGTAGTTGAGTAACGGTACAATCAGATCATTGTATGTCGAGAATTGAACTGTTTGAACAGCGAATCTCAATGCTAAGTGAATAGGCGTATTGCCATCACTGTCTGTAGCTCTTACATTGGCTCCGTTCTTCAACAAAAGTCTCATTATTGCATCATCTCCAAGAAGACAACAGGCGTGCAAAGCTGTTCGGCCCCTACGATCAACTAAGGCAATTAAATATGAAGCTTCGTGTTTCTTGAAAAGAGATCGCACACGATGAAGTTTCCCCGTCATTATGTAGTGGAAAAGTTTCTCTTCCGTTGACTTACCCATTAGGTCAAGTTAGATGGGAATACAACGTGAAAAATAGGTTTTTTAGAATAAAAGAGAAAACTGTTGACAACGTCGCCATGTTAGATAGCGAACCCAGGCCCTCCACAAGAGACGTCAACGCAACCTCGTTCCTAGGCTCCAAAAACAGGCTAGTGCCAAAAAAGTTACAGGTTGCGCATTTGGAATTAAATAAATACTTTTTGATTGATAGTCTTAATTTATGAAAAAGAAGTTAATAAATTTATCAATCCATTATTGCCAAGTCTGTTGCAATAGTTGCATGGAGGATGACAGTCGCGAGCCCGCTGTATACCAGCCAGCGTTTGAAGATAACGCATGCTCAGTTCCACTCAGTCTTGTTTTGGTCTATTTCATTTCACGAGGTAACTCGCTGGCTAAATATTTCTCGATTTCTACAGGAACACTCAACAGAGTAGAAATGGCAGAATCCGACTGGGACTCAGTAACTTACTTGCGAAAGAAAACACCTAGAGCGGCAGAACTGAAATCTAAACAGGTATCTGATTCCTTAATATTATTATTATGATAATGCAAGATTCAGCAGAAAAGTGAAAGAATGGAAGATTTTGATAAAGTAAGCTAGCTTACATTAGAAAAAGTTATCACTGTGTTTATCTGAGAACTTGCATAGTCTTTCATTTCATATACTTCGTTACAATGATGTTAAACCCATAGCTTAGACAGTGAAAACTGGATTGTAAACCGCTGGGACAAGCATGCAACAACTCTCACCAATCCAGAGTGTAGTGGGGTACTGTCCTAAAATTGCCATATGATTTTGGGTTACCCCACGGATTTTTATCTTGGAACTCCTGATCTAGAACTTGCTGTCATATTTGAGTGATTAAATTATATGGGATGTGTTATACAAACATAGATTAAATAATTGTACATGAAAAAATCCATAACCTGTTTACCATGAATTAATTTCAAACACATGTAAGAACTTTCAACTCTTAATTAATTTCCATCTAAAAAAGAAAGTTGGGCTAAAAAATCCCAAAGCAATTACACTCATGCCAGATCCTCTAGGGAAAAAATCGTTCTTGTAATAAATCTAATCCTACCTGGCTCGTGAACGCAGCACATCTGGAAATTATACGCAACTTGTAAAAGACGATTTCTCAATAATTAACAGATATAATCATATACAGCATAAATAAATGAATATTAAAGTTGACACTTATAAAAGCTCTTGGAAAGTTGGAATCTTTGGAACTCTAAATCCTTAAAATTCTGTTGAGATCTTTTCCATTTTGGCTGCAAATGTGTTCTGAGGAGATCCAAATTTACTGACCAATTTAGCCCCAACCTACTCAAAAGTCACAATACCTGAGATAGTTTCTAGCCAGATTTACCTGTAATTAAATGGTTATGTTCAAACAATGTTTTTTTTGGTGCCTTTAAGGCTGTTGCACAAGCACAAAGACACGGTGGCCAGGTGGAAACATCACAAAAATGTAAGTTGAACAATTGAAAAGTTTTGCTTTTGGATAAAAATGGCAACTTCATTTCTTGAATCAACCCGGAATTACTCTACTCTTTATCCTCATGAATTTCATTTAGAATTGCTCATTTTAGCTTTCAAAGAATATTAAAAAGTAGAATGTGACACCATGTTGTTACAGAAGCTGAACCATGGTCTGACAGTAAACTTGTGCAACTCTGGGTCAAGAGGTCTGGGGTCAAGAGGTCTGGGGTCAATAGTTAACTCAACCCCCAGATTTCATTGTTAATTCTCCTTAGTGTATGCTATATAATTCTTTTGATGTTAGTTTGGAGATTTTGATATTGGATCAACTAATAATCCCCTAATTGAGATTTTTCTTTATTCTCAATACTTGTCTGCTTGATATTGTATTGATATTATAGGGAGAAATTCTGTTTCTGTCACTCCTGGGAGCTAAGGGTTAACTCTCTTGAATACTGGCAATCTGTCAGGCAAGCCTTACTGGATACTGGGGGAAAAGCTTTAATGGACTAATGCTGTATCTGGGGGGGAAGCAATATTCCAAGGAGACCAGGATGAGTTTGGGAACCATATGCACCACTTTTAATTGTGATATTATAGAACAATGCTCAGTCACCAAAGAATGGGATAGTTTTGGGTAGTCACAGACAATGTTAGTGCACTTTTTTTCAATGGAACAGCTCAGAGCAGCTCTCCTCTGAAGTTTCCATGAAATTATATTTAATTCTAATCTTTAATAGCTTACATAATTTGCTTTCAAACAGTTGGTGCTGCTTCAAACAAGCAGCATTCAGCAAACAAGGATTCTGCTAAACTGGACCGAGAGACAGAGGAGCTACATCGTAAGTTCTTCTTTGGAAATCACATGTACTAGGTAGTCTGGCAAATAGAGTTACATCAAGTATCAGGGTTCATTTTTTAAAAATGAAATAATTTTGTTACAATAAAGCTCTGCAAGTTTAGCAAGGGTAAGTGAGCCAAACCCTGGATCTTGGAGTTGGCATATAAGCTTTGGTGTGGTGTGTCTGTGTTATACAGTCCTCACTACCCTTGTCTGAGAGTAGCATCAGCCAATAGCAGTCAGGGAATTCTACAGCGCACAATTACGATAATTTTTGTATTGCATCCAGGGTAAGTAGCAACACTTGATGTTTCAGAAAACTCTGGTGATGCAAAAACACTCTACAGTTTTCTCTTCTTCCCTGCATAGACATTTAGATCCCTCCAACAGCCTGTTGCTGTTGATGGTACCAGTACCTGCATTTGAGAATCCCTTTATATACCTCTGTGTCTGTTTGTGGAAGTTCAAGGGAATTGCAGATGATGAGATGCACATTTGCAGTCATTCCACCACCCTAACTACGACAACAGTTTTGGTTTCCTCAGCTTTTGACATGCCAGCAACAAAATCGTTTTGCAGTTATTGTGTGTTTGAGATTGACATGAGAGTCTGATACCCAGATTGTCTTGCAGATGAGAAAGTTTCCCTTGATGTGGGAAAGCTCATTCAACAGTCAAGAATGGGGAAGAAATTAACACAGAAGGACTTAGCAACAGTAAGAGCTTTATGGAAACTGTAAACAATGTTCTACTGTTTTATGTTCTCCCTTAAAAATTTTTTTTTTCTGTAATAGAAAATCAATGAGAAGCCTCAAGTCATTATGGACTATGAGTCTGGTAAAGCAATTCCTAATAATCAAGTGATGGGTAAAATTGAACGAGCATTGGGTGAGTGTTTCATATTTAACCTTCATGAGTGTACTTTGTTAAAAAAAAATTGTTACTGTGCTATTTAAGCATTACCACCATAAACTATAAATCAATGGAAAAGTTATGAAAGGAATTATCCAGCAAAAGTTTTTTTGTTGTAACTTGATCTAATTGTAAACTGACTTAGGCACAAAACAGACGATGACTCTGGGCAATTTAATCAAGTATCAAATCTAACCCCACAAATTAAACTTCTGCACAATTTCATTTTGAAGCGGTTGGTATTCAAAGCCATGTAGGGCTTTTTTAACATTCCTCTTGTTTACCTGCAATCTTTCTGTCAAGTTAAGTTATCAAAATTTTACTGATATGCATTACATCAGAGACCATTGCAGGAGATCAATTTTGAAAAACAGAAAAGCCCTATATGGGTTTTTTGATAGGTATCTTGTGAGCTTCAACACCAAATTTCAAGTCAATCCGTAAAGGTTTCATACCCTATTAATATGCTGAAGAAGACACACTTGTGTAGAAACGAAGAGGGTTTTTTTTGTTTCCAAAGTTTTGCCACCATTTCATGCTCTTGAGTGACCACATGTCAAGTTTTGTCAACTCTCTGAAAAACTGGAAATGCCTATTAGAAACACAGAAGCAGAGTCCTAGGAGACTCTTGGAAAAATATGTTTTGTGGGAGACTCTCCTGCCGTTGTGCACAACTGAGCTTTGGTCAATTCAGAATGTTGGTAAGAAGAAGAAATTCAAGGCATAGGAAAGTTTCGGTGGCACCATCAAGGTCAACTCCTACTAACCCCAAGGAGGCAGAACTTGTCAATGGTTGCTGAAGGGTGAGCTGCGCCTCGTGTGCCACTTTTTTGTTCTTACCACATTTTGACGTCATCTGTGATCTATTACTGAACAGACGCACAGCAACTTGGAATCTATTTGTTAAACAGACGACATCAAAATGTGTTAGTTATAAAAAGAGTGGCACAGGAGGCACAGCTAAATGTGTCACTGATGTTCTTACCACATTTTGAAGTATTCGTTTTTCATATGATGAAAGAGCAAAATGTTGTTAATGATGATGTTATATATGCATCTATCCTTCAATAGATCATTAGTAAGAATCAATCAAATTGTGTATGTAATTCAGCTTATCATATAATTACTTACTGTGACTTGTGTGACTTGCAGTTCTATGCACATACATGCTACGTCTGTGGACATATAAGTAAATGTACTAATGTCTACCATCATCTGAAAATTTAGGATGTCAAAAGTAAAACTAGACAACTTGCTTATAACAGCTAAGTTGATAATGTAAATTGGCCTTAGTAATGAGGTTCTAAGCTGACATTAGTCCTTTGTCAGAGCACTCTCATAAAGGACTAATGTTCAAAATTTCCATTTAAGAAACTCTCTTAGGTGGCTAATTTAAATTATCAACTCAGTTTATAAAACCAAATTATTTTGTAATACTAATACCCACCACTGAGGCAGCACAAAAGTTTCTTTAGAAATTAACCTCCTTTATTAAAAGTAAAACTATTTTGATAAATTTAAGTCAAGGAAAAAACTGCACCACAGCAAAGTCTTTCAAGGTGACTGCATAGTGAACAAGTCTGTATCACTTGCAAGTTGTTTGAACTTAAGAATCAGGAGTAAATGAAGAGTTGATAAGGTTCAGTGTCATCCAGTGCTGAGTTTCTTTTTTTTTCCTTTTTCTCAGGTGTCAAGCTTCGTGGCAAAGATAAAGGAATGCCGTTAGTTTCTGGTGGCAAGGGGAAGAAATGATATCTAATGAAAAGTCAAATTAACCCTTTATGAACTCCTAAATAGGTTACATTCACATTTGGTTCAAGAAACTATTCTCATGAACCAGAGTAAAAGTTTCCATGTGTAGTTCAGTTAGAGAATTCACATAAAGGGTTATATTGGTATCATTTCTCTCCTTGCCAGTGTTAAAAAAAAAAAGAAAAGAAAAAAAACAGGATGTAATACTCAAAGACCATATGGTTGAAAATTTCTGTCAGCTTAAGATTGCTGTTAAAATTATGTTTGGAAATCTCCCTTCTGCTGCCTTTTGTGCCTTAAGGCTCTTTATTAAAACTGATTCACTAACTGTTTATAATGTTGTTGTTATTCTTATTGTGGTGCTCTGTTGACTTAGAAGAGAAGCAAACAAACAATGGAAATTAGTTAGGCCTGTTTGGTAATCATGTCAAAAGTATGAAGTGAAGGAGCAAAAAGGGGCTGTAGCCCAGGAAAATTGAGGCTAGGAAGGGTTTGGGGATGGAGGAGGGAAGCGGCAACTCGACACCTTAATGTGGATGGGAACAAACCCTCTTAAAATCATCTAACTGTGGTGTTTTTTGAGAAGGAACAAGATACAGTAGTCAGAAGTGTAGAGGCAGGATAGAACGGTATGGAAAGTAGTTGTGCCTAAATTTTAATGGCAAGAGGTGCAACAGAGGATTGCTAGGGACAAGTTTCTGAGTCAGGTGATTTTCGAAAATTGTCAGCTATTCCAACATGGCAGATTATTCCTGTAAATATAATTAACATAACTTGCAAGTTAGTTACAGTCGGCTGACATTATTGAAAAAGACACAGTTTCATTTATGTCTCATGGTTTTAAGACTGTAAAGGGTAAATCAAAGTACAGTCATAATAATTCCCTTTTCATAGTGCTATCTTTTCAAAAGATCCTTGAATCAAAGTTCTCGTCTTGTCCCTCTTGGCAGTAGAATCTTGGAAGGTTTAAAGTGTCTGGTCTTGTCCCTCTGGGATGTAGAAAAGTATTCCATAAATCAAACTGTATGTATACATGACAATTGGCTAATTCACCTTATATAAAAGCTGATCAACCGGCTGACAGAATTGAGGTTTTTTTCTCCTCCTCACGTTTTGCGAAACCTTGTGTAATGCCACATTTATCGTGTGGCTTGATAATCCGGGTGGGCGCCGTCCCGAGATGGACCGGTGTCGGGGTACGTAGTATCTTGCTGACGTCGGTTTTGAAAACTAGCTAGCAGAAGTCGCTTTTCTTTCTACCTTGGTCGTGAAAATGTTTCTTATTTTTCTCTTTTCGTTGTCGTTACAATTGTTAACTTATTATTTGTTTGTTTTTCTCGTTCAGTTTTTGTTGCTGAATGAATTAACCAAGAGTGTTGGCCCGTTTATCTAGACTCGTGAACGTTATCGGCCATGTCAGCTCCGAAAAAGCTAACTAAGGTGGATACAGGCTACGGAAAGCCTTTGGTAGGGAGAAACAAACAAAAAAATGCTGAAGGTTTCTGAAAATTAATATACGAAAAATCACTTGCAAAACTCACTAACAAATTCTTTGTCGTTTCATTTCTGAAGAACGATTGGAACAAGAACGCGGTAAGTGGATTTTAAAGATTGCACCTGTTTGTATCCTTCACTTAGTTTTTGTTGGCGAACAGTCTGACGAACGAGTTTTTTATTCTCTCCTTTTAAAAATCCCCTTATCATGTCAAACTAAGCCATTCGCCAACTGCTTTGACAGAAACCTCAAGACCAAAGCCGTCCAAAACTATCACATTTAATGTCAAAGAGTGGACTTAAAAAACGAAAAAAAATTTAAAAAAAAAATTTTTTTTCACGCTTATTGGTGACAAAGTTAGACAGATTGATTTGTTTTATTTTTCCACCTACAGCCAAATTTTGTACACTCCATTATGAATGCCCAACGTATAATCGTTTGCATACAATCGTTTGTTCGCCTTTTCTTGGAGGGTTCTATATCTAACAGCTAGTAGTGCAAGGTCTTTAATGAATTAAATTCCCAACAGTCAAAATTTTTCACACAAGGTTTCATCAAACTTCTTGATAATGTCCAACGATTCCAAAAATACCTTATTTATCTAAGTTGACACAATGATTGAACTTTCTCAAATTTCGCTTGTAAGCCTTCTGCAATGTTAAGAATGTCTCTCTTACAGTTTCGCTCAACAAAGCAAACTCTCTACCTTCAAACACCTTTGTTAAAGCAGGTGTATTACGCTAGGAAGACTTGACACTTACCGTTCAAATGCCCAGCCCCTCCCAGGAAAAGTTGAAGGACGGGGGGAAGTTAAAGCTTGGAATTGATCGGCGAATTAGTTTTCTGTCATGTATCGGCTAGTTCACTAATTTGAGCCACAATTTTAGCGATAAATGCAATGTGCGTTCATGACGTCCTCTTATTGTATTTATTTTCTTTGAAATCTAGTAAGTGACCACTCATTACTCATCACTTGTGGAAGCAGGGAACGGCGGAGGATTTGTTTTTGCAGGGATTACATTGTTTTTAATGGAAAGTGAAGGGGGGGGGGGAATCAGTCGTCGCCAAAAGAGTACTAAGGGGGTCTATCGAAAAATTACTACCGACTACCTGCCAATGAGGGGATCATAAAAATATCACTGTGCCTTATGGGGAGATCAAGTAAATTTAATAGTGACACAACAAAAATCCTCCAACCCCCCCCCCCCCTTACTCTCGCTAACCAGGCGACAAAGAATGACCGGTCGCTAAATGCGCACAGACCGTGGTTTACGAGAGACTACCTTAAGTTGGGCTAACGCTCGAAATAGTAGCTTCAGAAACTCTTAACGGTGGCCAATTTTCATTATCAACTCAGTTGATAAAACCAAATGAGCTTGTAATACCCCCCACCGACACAGCAACACATTTCTTTTAAAAACGTATGCCAAGTGGTTCTGTCAAGGCCAATGACGTTTAGGGAGGGGTGTGAAAGTGAGAGGAGTACCAACAAATGTTGATCGCAAAAGCCTGGGTAAGAAGGAGGGGCATTATTAAAAATGGCTTCCACGAAGGTGCTCGAACAGTGGGGAAGAATACCAGTGGTTTGTTTACATCTTTAATTGCGTCGTTAATTGCTCTCAAACTTTGCTCGGCTCTCAACAGGTATGAACAAAGCAGAGTTTGCCGTTTGTCGAATCAAAGAAAAGCTTCCTGGGAACCAGGGACTTGTACTAAAGGGAAGCGGTTGTGTTGTGCATTGTGAAAGACTCGCAACTTCGTGGGGTTGGAAATGCAATTACTTTTATTGTTACCCCAAGTGTCGTGCTGAGTCGGGAAGACCTGGCGACGGACAAGATGTTTATCGCCGAATTTTTAAATAAGGATAAACGAGGGCTGGAAACCTTTGAGTTGAAGCAAATGGCCGAAGTTTGCAAAGATCTTCCAGGATGCATCTTTGATAATGATCTTGATCGAGGTCACTCTCTTAGTTTTATCTCTGTTGAACCACTAGATAAGCGCGGGTTTCTTAAGAAAATGGTGAAGAAAGGGAGTCTGCAAACATATCGTCCATTAGAATGCGCTGATTTCTTCAGTAAATCTCGACAAGAACTTGTTCTTGACGAAGGCCTGTACAGTCACGTCGTCCGAGATCTATTTAATGAGTCAACAAACTCTCCATTTTCGACCCAAACTTTTAAACTTGTTTGGGAGCCGCAGACGAGACTCTTCAGCATACAGGACTTTGCTGGATCAGCGATAGGATTTAATGAAGGGGCATTTCCAATTGGGGCCGTAATTTTCACTGGGAAGGTGAATTTGCTGGTGTTTTAGAATTTGCCGACGGTTTCTTGTCTCCCGTATTTTTGCCGAACTCGTCGATGATAGGTAAGTAGAAAGTTTATCATAACATCAATTATTAAGTTTATGTGACCCCACGTATCAATTTATTTTGACAATCCCATGAAACAATAATGATATAATATATTAAAGTTATATTTAAAGTCCCCTGATGAAGGCACTAGACAGTTGTGTCGAAACATTGGGTCTATGAATTGTAACTTCTTCGGTTACATTCATTAAATCTGTAAACCAGAGTAGCATCAAACCATGTCTGAATAATTATATAGCCACACGTGCCACGCTAACCTACAAATTCATGGCTGATATTTCACCCTCCAACAATTTGAACTATTAAGTACAGGTATCTCGTGATGTTTCCGGTGGTTTTGTTCTGATGTTGATACTAGTATTAATTTCAAAAATTTGCGTGTTCATTAAACAATTAAACATGCGCCAAATTAGTTGTATTGCTTCATACGCCTGAGATTTGATATTCGAGAATCTACTACGCAGGTTACGCTTCTATTTAATTTTTCCACCTCGTTGATATCGATGCGGTGATTTGGCATTGTTATATTACTAATTCTTTTCTATTTGATTAAAATTAAGAAACGCCTCTCACTTTTTAAGACTTGATCCCTTAATTAATATTTCATAAAATGTTTAATTCTACCTGCTGATTACTCAAAATCTTTATGATTATCTCTAGAGAATATTCAAAATGGTGATCCTGCTGTACCAAGTGAAGAAAAGAATGCTGCAGATGTGGAATTGGAGCATGAAATTGCTGGAAATGAAGTCTTGGTTGGTGAAATCAGTCAGGACTCAGAAGTTTCATCACATGGTTTATCATATGAATCACATGGTAATAACAATGAATCATTACCTTCATTGGAACCATTCAAACCTGGTACTGAATCATCAATTCCTGTCAAGGTGGATGCCCTTGACTCGAATAAGACAAAGGAAGTATTCCAACAAGATCAAGCATGTGCTTCTGTTAGTAAGAAAACAGAGGAGCTGGAAACTGGAATTATTTCAAATCCTTTAGATCACTCAAATGACAAGGGAGAAGATGAATCAAAATGTCAAGATACTCTCAGGGAAGGGTCCAGCAAAGTGAAAGATCTAGATGAAAGCAAAAATTTTAGTTCAGTAGAGAAACCATTCTCTGGGACTGAAGAAGCCAAAAGAGCTGATGTAACTGCAGAGGCTGTGGGGATTGTGAATGTGGTATCTTGCCATGGAAATGAGATTATTACAAGCGACAATGACAATTTAGTGACGGTCATTCAAGGTATTTTTTTTTTAATATAATTGTCTTTAAGATAGCAAAATTCTTCAGGTCTCAAATATTTACTACAAAGAAGTTGGGTCAATCTCAGAGCACTTATTTATCCTCAGTTTTTATACCATGTTCATAATATCTGAAGATATTTTTTGAATTGTTGCATTAATTATAACTGATGGTCCTCTAGTAGATTTATTGGAACCATTGCCTTAAAATGTGAGGAGATATAATTTAGAAAAATAAAAATTAGTGAAACATAATTCCTTGTGAACCAACAGACCAGTGAGAACTTGATTCATAGTGAATCAAGGCAATAACTTGTGTTATTATATAACAATATGATTTTTGTAGAAATTTATAATCTTAAAAAAATTTTTGAAGGATTTTAGTACATATTTGCTCTTTTTTTTTCTTTAATAAGTGGGTGGTGTCATCCCTGTAGAAAAAGGAACCACTCAACAAGAGGATACTTCTGATAAGATCATCACAGAGAGTGAATATTTCTTACCAGAGACCAGCCCTTCAGAAATGTCACCAGCTGAAAGCAAGGGTTTGTGTAATGGAGAGCTATCTGATATTCAAGAACCTATGACTGATTCTTCAGTAGAAAGCAAGGAAAGCTTTATGATAGACCAAGAACACTTTGAAACTTCAGATCCCAATGAACATGTCCATATAGAAAGTGACCATGTTGCTTTGGAAGGCTCAATACCTCTTGATACAAAGGTTAAAACTGAGTCAATTGAGAGGCAAGACTTGGAAATCAGTGATACAGAGGTGGAAACTCTTGATAATGAGGATTCCACTGTTTCATCTGAGAGTAAGAGTGATACACCGACAGAAGTGAAATTTCCTCTCAGGTCATTGCACCAGTTGATCTTGTCACGAAAGTGAAACCAGGGATAGTGGTCATTTGAGAGAGTATGAAGCTGAGAACATCAATCAAGAAAATTCTTCCACTGAACATTCTCTGGTATCAGAAGTAATGGAAGGAACTGATGTCAAAGACATTAAAATGGTGCAGTTAGACACAGGTAGAGGTGATAAACATTCTGAGAATGCATGTACACCCAGTGATCATCTTGATGCCTCTTTGACTCTTCAAGGAACTGATCCAGAGGATAACACAGTTGTTGTTGGCAGTGATCATGATGAACAATCTGAAATAGAAATAAAAAAATTTTCTCCAGGCTTGGATGAAAATCAGGTAATTATAACACAGCAAGACTTTTTCAGTGTGACTGGTGAAGCAGTTATTGCTGAGGGAAATGAGTATCATTGTCATCACAGCAATAAGCATGAATTACTCTCAGAAACAATGTCAAAAGAGGAGTCTCCAGGGTACATTAGAGAAACAGAGGTTGATCAGCATTCTCAGGAAGAAACTCTGTCTTCAAATGTGGTTGCCATGGAGAAGAAAGCAGATGGACAGGGTGTGCAAGCTGTGCCACAACCATCCATCAATTTTGATCAAAAGGAGGGTGAAGATGAATCTGTGGAAAACTCTTTAGGAGAAGTTGCTGTTTTGCAAAGAGTTGATGCAGGTGAGAAGTTCTTTTCTTGTATACACCTTGCTTTTACACTGTCCTACAAATCAAAAACTTCTATCTCACACCAGCTGTCTAATTTCAAGTTCAAATGATACGTCGATGTTGAAGGTAAATGACTTGAATTAAAATGACTTCCAACTATTGATCGATTTCCCTATGTAAGGACTCAGTTAAATGAAATGTCACAAGAACAAAATAAACTATTTCAATATGGTTTTATCAGAAATTCTTTGTGAGTTACAACAGAGCTCTGTATCCAATAGTTGTCATTGCCTGTTACAGTTGATATGGATGAGCTTATTTCTGTTACAATAATGACTGTCATGTGACTTGTCAAGGTCATTCCTTTAACTTATAAGGGTGATTGGCATCCAATTTCTCCTTAAAGTATCACTGCTGAATCAAACAGCAAGGTCTTGAGAATAAAGGAAATGATCACCAACTAGAGAAGTTCACGATAGGTTAACAAATTCTCCTTGTCAGCACCATAGGAAATGTAAAGAGAACAGTATGGAGAATATGGATACCCATGTAAGGTGCAAAGGATTAAGCTGTAAATTTGGTGTTTTTTATGTTGAGTGGTCAAAGAAGACTGGTGCTGTAAAGTCTAATGACTGCCCTGTTGCCGAAGGCAATCCCAAGCTGGAAAACGGACCCACTTTGTTCCCTTGCAAGCAAATCAGAATAACCATTTTTTCATCATATTTCCTGCTTAAAGAGGCAGCCAGACTTGTAATCAGAAAGTACTGACAATGCAAAAATAGGCTTTGTGGGTCAATGTTATAGCTGTCAAATTTAAGTGTCACCAAATTGTTACATTATATTGCAATCAATTTTTTTATTTTAGATTCTCTCCTTACTGAGACCATCACAAATAATCCTCTTATTCTTGGAGACCTCGGTAAATGTCTGGATACAGAGTACCAATATGGGAAAGTTCCTTGTTGGAGAGACCTGGCTAAATTATTGGGTGTACCTCCAGAAGCCCTCTGAACACTGTGGTACCTTCTCAGCTACAAGTCCAACTGAGGACTTGTTTGTGTTCCTAACAGCAACAAAACCTCAACTTACTATTGACGATGTTAAGGAGGCTCTGAAAGAAATTGGCAGATGTGATGTGGCTCATTATCTAGACAGAAAAATTGCAGGTGTTTCAAGCAATTCAGTGAATTTGTTTCTTAGAAATGCAAAGAGCAATAGGCACAGAAAATACCTTGAGCTAGAGGGCCAAAATAGAGTCCTGATCCTGTCTCATGCATAAATTTTTAAAAAATTTATTTCACATGTACCTTAGACAGTATTTGAAGTCACAAATGTTGAAAGGAAAACTTCAAATCTCATTTCACCTTACCTTTCTGTAAAATTCACTCTAGGCTGAATCAGGCATCATGTATAAATGCTTTGCCAGCCTCTTCTAGTAATTTAACATTATTCTCATTTTAATAATAATTTTTCCTTTACCAAAATGAATACATGACTGATTCTGTTAATAAACTTATTTAGTATGTTTATTTCTCAATCAGCTGGACTCATCAGTCAGGAAAGTGTAGTTGCCAGTCTTGTTGAAAAAAGATGACACAGGAATTCTTGGTCATATGGCTCTGAAACTTGACATGAAAAGCAGAAAGGATTGGAAAGGTCTAGCACTACAACTGAATGTACCCCATTGTGTGTTTAAACCTTGGATCTCACCAGAAGCATAATTCATCTTTAATGTTGTTAAAGTACATTCCCATATTTGATCCTGAGATGACATTAGCACATCTGAAAAACTGCTTGATATCCATTGGTAGACAGGATGTTGGTCTAATCTTTGACAAGGGTGGAATTCCAGGTAGCATAAGTTTGTTCATTATTTCAATTTGTGTTATTACATGGCTGGAAACTTATCTTTGGTAATGTTTGCAGTCAGGGCAGATTACATTTAGTTTGTACTTGTTTCCCAAGGTTGTCCAACTTGTCACATGAAGAAAAATCTCAGCCTTGTCTTTTCATGCTGTTTAAATTCTGCCTTTCTAAGGTTTTCTTTGATAACCTCCTTTTCTTTTACAGTCAATTAAAAAACATTTAGTTTATTACTAACAGCAGTATCATGACTATGAGTAGTAGGTATCTCATGTAATTATTGTTACTTGAACAAGAGTCATTTTCTATTTATGGAGAGGGATCTTTAGGTGCAATTTGCACATCACAAGAGCTTTGAGAATTAATTTTTCATTTTTGAGATACTTTGTCTGTAACAGTGGGTGCTTTTTATTCACTAAATGATACATCTTTGTCTGTTTCAACATTATGTCACAAGGAAATTTTTAAAAAAAAAAAAAACTTATTTGGGGACTGGCTGTTTTATATTTCAACAAGGAGATTCTTTCTTTGTCTTTCAGGAGATGAGCTAGTTAAAAATATTCTGGATGACTCCAGAGCTGCTTGATCAAATAACAGACCTGCTGAATGAAGACCCTCCTCATCCCCATTGGAGACACCTCGCAAAGGAGCTGAAAATTCCTCAGGAAAAATGTCAAATATTTGAACCCACAGAAGATGTCAACAGCCCAACTAAATTGCTGTTTAAAAGTATTGAGAGATGCGAGCCAGATTTGACATTTGAGGAGCTTGTTCTAGCACTTGTTGCAATGAAAAGACAGGATGTCTTAGATGTCCTCTTAACATATTTTTCAAGTGAGTTGATATTTTCCCCCACCAGATAGAATGAAGATAGTCAACCTTATTAAGTTATCTTATAATTTTACTTATAAGTAATATTTTTTCATTGTTTGGGCCTGATCAGTAATTGATCATACATTATGTTGAAATCATGGTAAAGGTGAGGCCAATCAGCTCTGGGGTTAGATGTTTGCAGATTAACGCACCAGTTTGGATCTTGGGAAGCATATTCCAATTATTGTAACAGTCAGTTTTCTTTAACCATGAGTCTTTTTTTTTGTAGGTGATGATGTTGACCAGATACTGGAAGAAAACAATCTTCTTGAACCCCTAGAGGATATCCCAGAAGAAATTGAAAGTTAGAGAGAGAGATCAACTGTTTGTTAAGGAGGAAACAGTGGAGCAATGAAATTATTATAAAATATTGACTTGATTCTGTTAGTTTTCTCCTAAATCTCCCATTTCGAAATGAACCAAATGGATAAACATCTAAAGGCCCTACTCAAGGGATTAACAGTTTGGGGGGCTCTAAGGTGAGAGGGTGGGTGTGGAGGGGGGGAAGAGAAGTCACAAGGTACTGTGCATTCACAGTCAGTTAAGATGTGTAATGCATGTACATGGTTAAGAGTGGGTTGAATCAGGGTTAACCAGTCATGAGTTATCTTTCCAATTTTTGGGTAATCGGGGACTGCACCGACTTTACTGTGCTATCGTCTGTGACAGGTTCACAGTTAAAATTGGCTTGATAATTGCATTATTCACATGTCATTTGATTGGGTTACTAGATTCCTAAGATATAATGTTAATATAAAGGCTCTGGTGACTTGAGGTATCTCTAGTTATAGGTACAAATGTAAAACCATTGTTTATACTTAAGACTGTGTATTTTTGTAGGATATGACATATTTTGATTAATATACTATTTATAAAGTTCTAATGTATACTGGTATCATGTCAGTTATCTTGTACATTAGATGGTAGCTTAGTGAGAATAGTTACTTTATGTTGACTGTGAGGTAAATCCCAGTTTTGCTGGGTGTATGAATATTCAGGTGTAATATTATTTATGTATCCTAAATGTGCAAAAAATACTTGCTTTAAAGTCATTTATACATTGATGACTTATCCATTTGAAGTGGCAGTAATTCACTCCACATTAATTGCATGTTTAGCTGAAAAGTTTAAGAGCAGATTGGCTTTTCATATATAATATTGGAAGAAATATATTGTCTTAATACTTTAGAGAAAAAATGTTTTGACTTTTGTTGGGGGAACATATTGTTCAGTTTAAATGAAAACTTAATTTGAATTATTTCCACCATCCAACTCCAAAGGATGAAAGCAAAAGAGTAGTTGTTGTTATTTTTGCCAACATGGCATGCAGTGAAGGTACTTAATTAATTATTTTTTTCTTTCAAGAACTATGATGTTTAGAATTGAACATTTTGAAAGCAAAGTTTCATTGGATCAAATACATGTGATTACAAGGGTAGCATTGGATGGATGCACCATGTAATTTGAATGAATTTTCTCTAACTATTCAGTATCTTCTGCTTCTATTGTAAAAGTGCGAATGCTTTTCCTTACAAAGGGATCCAGAAATGGTTATGAAAACTTTGTTTCCCTTATAACCAAAGGTCTAAAATATTTTAGAAACTAGCTTTTCTACCTCTTACAACAAATGCATTTTTGTGGTGAGCTGTTCATGAGTGTAAATGATTAGTCTTTAATTTTCTGCTTATAGAAAAGTATATAATTCTTTAAAAATATTTTGTGAGGTAGCAATGTATCTTAGCATATACCATATATACAACATAAAAGGATTAGTTTTGATAATTAGTTAACGATCAGTTATTCCTGAATCAATAGCAAGCTTTTGTATAATCAGAACAGTGTACCAAGGCTGAAGCATGTCGTTCTTTTCAAAGAATGATCACTTATTAACATCTGCTAATGCAAATTCAGAAGGTGTAGCGTTATTTCTTATTCCTAACTGAAATTTCGTGTTCAAATTTGAAATAGATATAATCGCGCTATCTCAGTCTACGAGATACTAAGCATGTTCTCCATTTTCACCTTTTTGACGACTCAAGTGATTACTGCCATGAAGCAGAATCAATCAAAATTTAGCAGAGTCCAAAGTCGAAGTCATGTATTTAGTAAAGTTTCTTATTTTCTGCATTTTTCTTTTCCTTCGTAAGAGACAGCCAAAGTCCAGGCTTGAGTTGTTAGCTTGGTAATCTCTGTTTCGCAGAGCAGAAATTGGTTTTACGTAAAACAGGGGTTTCATTTACAGAATTAACTTTTCCTCTTAAACTTCAAGGACTTCAGTGTTGAGTTGACATTTGTCAATTGACTTTTTTGTGGCATTTTCCACGAAATAACGGCCGAGTTTTCAAACTTAAACTAACTTTTATTGTGATCGATATTCTTTATTTGGTAGTTAATACCAAACGAATAGAAATTGTTACTTATTCCATTTACATGTAATATGTTAAGACGTGGAACTTGCATACTATGCTCGTAAATCTCGCTTTCGTAGCTAATGTTACTGTGAAGAACACACTTACAATATGTTCCGTAAGTAATAGGTACTTGTGTTTGGAAGCATAGTGGAAAACATAAAATCAAGTTAGCCTGGAGATTTTTCTTTTCAAATAAGTATGATAGTCAAATGTTTTTTCCTTAATGAAAATTTTCCAATTCATTAGTGGATTACCCCCCCCCCCCCTCCTCCCTTTCCCTCAATAGGGAGCTTAAGCATCGACGTCTTAGAGAGGCGGACGGCGGCTGGAAGGTTAAAGTTCTTAATTCTGGTCCTAATACGCCTTTTTGGTCGGAACAGTTTGGTTTAAAATGCGATAACGAAGACCTCGTGATCGATATATTAATGTTAAGGTGCATCAGAGTTAGTTTTATTCTTCTTCCGGTTACCGTCCGCGCTTTAAAGCGTCTCTTCACAAGTTCCCTTTTGCCTCACTGTAAGACCGAGATGTTTCATCCTGTGGTCTGATCGTCCAGGTGGGAGCAGTCCGAAAAAAGCATTCTTATCGACAACTTTTATTAGCCGAAGTGATAATCAGGGTCTGTGCTGTGACTATGACGTGCCTAAGGGTTGTCGAAGCGTCAATCACTATTACCGACCAGGGTACTTTTCAGGAGTAAAATCATCTCGCTGCTGCCTTAAGTTATTCTTTACAGCTTTCGATCCCCCCCCCCCCTTCCTCTCTGCCTCCTCCTACAACGATTGGTACTGATTCACCTTTGATCTTGACTGAAATCGTGCTCCACTGGAACAAGCAGATTTAGGTTGAGTATTAATTTCGTTTATTCAGTAGGCGAGAGGGACTGCCCTCTCTGGGAATTTTAATTGTGGAACAGAAAGAAAGAGGTGCCAAAAAGGAAACGCTCAAACTCTTGTTGCAGACGCCGAGTGGTACAATGAAGACAAACTATGCTGGTCGTTAGTCCAAATGCTTTCCTCCAAATAAGTACATATTTCCTTTGCTTGTTGAGATATTTTTGTGTTAGTTGTTAGGTTATTGTTTTGTGTGGTTAGCATCTAAGTTTTGAACTCTTAACAAATCACTAAAAGCCGACCTTTTTCTAAATACTTTCGAGTTGGTCGTCGCTGATATCTTCCTGGTAGAGAAGAGGTCTCCATTCAGTCTCAATAGGAAGGTTGTCTATAGGTAAATTTCATTAAGTTTACCTTTTGTCAAATGGCAGATTTTTCAGGATTCAGCTGGTTCAGTTTGTAATCGTAGTTCAGTTTAAGACCGTTTTTACGTTTCTCCCACTTAAAAATTGGAAAGCGGTGCACAACTAGTTTAACCAACACAACCAGTTTGACGTATTCGTCGTAAAAAGGAAAAACGGGGTTACATTCGATTTATTTGATTTTACTTAATCCGAATATTTCTTCCCACGGCATAATTAAACCGTCAGGGTAATGTCCAAAATCACTCATTCATGAAAGTTCTTTCACATACTGAACAGTAAAACTATACGAGGAACTGGGCAGGAGCCCATCTCTTTTATGATTGGCTATTATATAAACACCCGCGAAAAACCTCGTGGGAGGTGCTTCTAAAAGTCAAAAGATACGGGACAGGGTTGACTCAGAGGGTAAGTATCAAAGATGGAAGCTCCGGATAATGGGCTCCCTCTCATGGGTTGAAATCCCGTACAGGCCTGACTCTTTTTCAGGCCTTATTTTCACTACTGCTTAAGAAATGTTCAATACTGCGAAGTTCGCTTTCATGTTCATACAGCACTTTATATGGTGCTCATTACAGGTGGGGGATAGCTCAGAGAAAATGAAAACTCACAAATTGGCTTGTTGTGCAAGATGATTGGCGTGGAAGAGAATCAGGATTACACGCGAGCGAGGATACACGCGAGATTCCCACGCTTGTCGTTGGGGTCTGGGTTCTAAAACAACAGTGGGTAGTCAAGCAGGCAGTCAAGTATGTGAAGTTTTCCCGTTTCCTCTAAGTTTGATTAATTTTTCCAGAGAGATGGATGAAGCTGACCGCAGGAAAGAAGCTCACTTGGCAAGAAAAATTGAACTTGAAAGACAGCGTGAAGAAATTCTTCGTGAAAGGGAGAGACTTCTTTCTCTGAAGAGTGAAATTGGTGCAAGAGATACGAACTCTTCAAGAAATAGCTCAACGCGTTCGTCTACATTGAGTGTACAGATTAAGAAAACGAAAAACAAAATTCCAGAGTTTGAAAGAAAAGTTCAAACGCTTAGAAAGGAAAACCAAGCTAGAACTGATTTATTGAGAAAACCTTACGATGGAGAAATGGGAATCGGTACGTACGAACCCTGGCAGTTGGAGGATTTCTATTTCGTTCGTGAGTTTGTACGATCATGGGTCGACGAGGTTTTGGATTTTATCGTTCCAGAACGCCCACGAGTAAAACCTGACTATGATACAGCAGGTATTGCTGAAGGGTTTTCGAAGAACTTGATGTTGAAAGGAAACACGATGAAATTCTTCAGGTGAGCCTCGACATTGAACAGGGCATTTTGGCAGATGTCATTTACCAGATTGCCAAGGAAACAGCTGCTGAATTGGTGGCTTTTGAGGTTCAAACTAGGACCATGCTAGATAGAATCATACTGGATTCTTTTGATCCTCGCTCTCAATCAGCTGATCAGAGAAAGATTTCCCTACTGAACAATGCTTTGTCTCAGTTCAAAAAGGAAGCCCTGAAGAAAAGAGAGGTTTGGTCTCACAGTCAATCATTTCACAGAGATGAGAATGTAAATGATACTTCTGTGATAGTTGATGAAGAAGAAGATACTTTTGATGGAACTGTGCTACATTTTCATGACATCACACCTTTCAGTGATGTACCTGATGCTAATCTCCTCCAGAGCAAGTTGACTTTCAAAAATAAAGAATCAGAGTTTTGGATGGGGAACACTGTTGACCTGTGCACACTGCCTTTACCAAGACGTTATAGAGGTGTCTCTTGTACTGCATTGTCTCCTGATAACAGCCTTATTGCTCTGGGAACAGTTCAAGGAGACATTGTGATCTGGGATTTAGCTACCTTTCCACCACGCATATTGAGAAGCAGCCGTGGTAATAACTCTGCTGTTGTTCAACTTCACTGGAGTTTTGACTCTTCACAAGTGGTTAGTCTAAATGATTATGGTGCCATCACACTATGGTCGCTTGGCAACACGATATCCATACCTTACGAAGTGAAATCATTTGAGCCTTTGGAGGTTAATATTGGTTTTAAACCTTCTGCTCTAATTCCATTGTTGACTCTAGAGCGAAGAGACTTTCTGTTCACAAAAGGACCATTTTCAGATTCCAGAGATTTATCAAGTGAAGTAACGACAGTAGCTTTTCATCCTTCAGCAACACTTCTGGGAAGGCAAGCATTTTTGATGGTGGGGTTCAGTAATGGGAACATTTTGAAGCTTAGATTCAACAAAATGCTGTCAATCATGTCCTTTCCACAGGTTCAACCAGCCAATGGTATAACACATAAGATTGGTAAAGATGTTGATGCTGAACTATTTAAAGAACATTGTCACAAGATTGTGCTTATAACATTTGTGAACAACATTTCACCTATGGTAACTGTTGATGAAAAAGGATTTATGAACATATGGGAATACTCCAGTGAATGCTTAACTGGATTTGGCTGGTTTGTTCCCAGCACTAAGTACAGGCTGAACATGGTGGAGATGACATACGAGCCTGTTCTTGGAACACAGGAGAAAGAAGAATTCACAGATGAAGTGAAAGGTCCAAAGCATAAACACCATCGTTTGAGGTAAAAGTGTTTCCTGTCTCAGGCTGAAGTTTTTACTTTAAGCCTGTTTGTTCAAAGGATGGATAACACTATCCAATGGATGAATTGCTATCCAGCAGATAAATATTAACAAATGATACTGTGCTATCCAACCAGATAGAGAATTACTGGTATCCAGTGGATAGTGTTATTGACCCTCTCTTGATATAGACACATGTCTGGCATGTGTGTGCACCAAAAATTACAGGTGATTTGTTTGATATACCACTGAATACTTCTATAAAATGTTGTATGTTATCTACAATATAGTGATTGCCTGTAATACAGTCACTATTGGTGATGTGGGCTGAGTGAAAATGAAAAAGTACACCATGTTTTACTGAAAAATGAAGAAATGTTCATTTACTTAGCATAAATTTATTAGGACATTTTGGTTATTATCATTCAAATTTTTGAGCATGCCAAGTTTAAATAATTTTTTTAATTTTTTTAGGCAGAAAATGGTTCAAAATCGTATAAAGACACAGAAGTACATCAATTCTCTTCGTCTGGAAAAACCATGGCAGACTCAAGAGAAGGACAACAAGGTTACCAAAATATTTGCACCAAAAAATGTTCCTGAATCAGGATCAACTTTCCACCATGTGACTTATTATCAGAGGTCAGGCCAGTTGGCATCTTATGTCACCAAGGTTTACAAGCCATTGCAAATTCCATGTTCAAAGTTCATCTTATCCAAACAAAACTTTGCAGGCACCAGACTTGTGTTCATGCTTCTGTTTCCAGTGGTAGAACCAAAGGAAGCCCATGTTTCTCTGGTTATCATCAATCTTGAACCAACAGTGTCTGTTAGTAAGAATTACATGCACATTGCTCTGGACAAAGATGATTATGAAAGATGTCTTTCTGGAAGTACCTGCTCTTTTGGAATCTCTCATGCTATAGATGCCACAGGAAGTGAGTACATTGTGGCAAATGTGAATGGAAATTTATTTGCAGTTTCCATGACAACAGGAAATGAAGTTATGGCAGAAACTCAGGAGGGATGGGTGGGTTGCCATCTTAGTCTCAAGAAAGGTCAAGTACCTCCAACTTCCAAGGTAGAAGTTGCTAGCACATCCAAAGGTCTCCAAGTGTTGTTGTATACCCACACACTAAATTCTGCAGTTTTACTGCAGGTGAGAGATGAGAACACCCAAGAGCAACGTAAACAAACATGGATTGCTTTCCAGCAGTGGATACATGTTGGCACTAAGAATACTGAATGTGTTCCAGTCACTTTGCACACAATAAGGAAACATGATTGGACCTTTGAGGGACACTCAGATGTGTACATTCAGTGTTTCATGGAGTCTTTGGTTCTTGACTTGATTGATGGCCAGTCCAAATAGCTGAGGGTTCATTTACCAGTGAACAACAACAAAGGTTTCATGCTGAAAACTTTCAGATTCCATTTTTGAGAAAGAGTTTTCAGGAAACACCACAAGATGCTGACCAAGGGAACATGTCTTCCTGGCATGACAGGCAGTCAGTGGTGTCAACACTGTGGGAATAGACTCAGTTTTAATAGCTGAAATTTAGATGTAGGAAGTAGTTTTGTAATATTCTTGCCATAATTCGCATATGTATAAATCTTGATTTCCTAAGTTTTGATCCGCATGTACAAGCCGAAGCAATTTGGTTGCATCCAATTTGTCAGAATGACCCATTTTACGATCTACATGTACATGAAAAATGTATATGAATCTCATTTACTACAAAGGCTTCTGTGGCTGGTGCTGTAGAATTTTCAGCTATAATGAGTCCAGCAAATAAAACCATGCCTGTTTTTTCATAAATGTTTGTTGTTTGTCTGTTGATGGCACCAAACAAATTGATGAAGATGACTGTAGATCTAGATTTTTTTAATAAATATTTGAAGAATAAAAGTGACTCAGCAATGTGCAAAATTTCAAAAACCCTTTTCAGGACAACACAAACAGGAGTCCTGTAAGCATTCACTTAAAACTGGTTAAACCAGTTGCACATTGCTGAGTCAATTTTATTCTCCAAATGTTCAAAGTAAATGGTGGGAAACTTTACAGTTAGGTTATTGGGTTAACAAAGAAACACTCAATACACACTTCAGCAAAATGAAAATGAATTAAAGTGATTAGATCAGTGTACAAATGTTGCTATTACTTGCTGAGTCTTTTGGAACCCAGCCCCCCACCCCCTCCTCCTCAAAAACTTTTCGGTCTTTCCTTCATTTCTTTTTCCATTCTCTTTCTTTATGTTGTCAGCAAGTTTAATCAGATTTTCTTGAAGGAGAAGTGGTGTAACGGAAGGGAAGGGGAAGAAAGAATAGAGTGTTCTGCCGTTGGCCGAGGCAAACTCCGGAGAGCCTGGAGCCAAAGGTTTCCCCAGTCTTTAAGAATCAGCTCAGCCAACATGGCGGAGAGCAACTCTCCAGGATTATCAAGTGTTCCTGATGTAGAGATTGATGCAAATGGACTTTTTAAATACGTTCTTATCAAAGTAATAGATCCTTCTAATGAGAATACTTACAAGTGCATAGTCAGAGGATTTGATTGGGCAAATTACCATGGTAAGCATGTCGACAGATCTTCACGTGTTTCATATCTTTCCATTCTTTTTGAAAGCCGCTTCATGACAGTCGATGAAAGGATAACTGGTCAAATCGCCCGAAAGTCATCACGTCCGAAGTCGAGTCGCCCGGAACCTGAGTCATGTCGCCCGAAATTCTAGTCATGTCGCCTGAAATAAAAAGTCAGGTCGCTCGAAGAAACAGATAACAGACTATAAATAGGTTATAAAGTTGAGAAATATATGACACTAAAGCGATGTTTGTTTGCGACAACACCAGTGAGGAAGATGATCAGAATAGAAATATGTTTGGTAAAATTCCCGCACAGCCCCATCCTACATTATGCATTCAGTTCTTGGATAGAAAAAACCAATGACAAAAACAATACATTGCCATTGGGAAAACAGATTTGTTTTACAGTATGGCGCTGTGCGGAAATTTTACCCACCATTTGAGTGACTACACAGAAATCGATCTTATTGTCAGAACTGAAATATGTTTGAGCAAATATGTTTGAGCAATGACTTAAACAACAAAAAAGCGTTGTTTGTTTCTATAACAACAAAATACAGCGTTGCCCATCTGTTTGATATCCACTCATACTGACCAATGTACACTGACTCATACCCACCAAAATAGCCACTCCTACCCACTGACGTTTCTTAAACTTGAGGAAATTTATCACTAAAGCAGTGTTGGTTTCATGGTGCACCATGAAGACTTAAACTACACAGAAAATGCAGTTGATCATATGGTCTGAATTGATATATGTTTAACTCAGGATTTTGGACGTGATGTTTATTTTGCTATTTATTTGTTATTTTGTCCCTTTTCCTCCTAATTGTTGTTAGTGATGTGACTGACCAGTGTATAAAAGCCTGTGTTACATTATTGAATATTTTTAATAATTTTGTTCCACATCTTTCTTTCAGCTGATATTTATGACAAAATAGAGGAGGAAATTGGAGAAATGAGAATGAAAACTGAATGTTTAGGTGGAGGCAGGATACAACATGACAGACTTGCCAAAAAAATCCTTGTGTATGGTTATTCTGTGGTAGGTTTCGTCTTCAGGAAAAATTAAGATGTTCGGCTATTTTCGTATTATTATTAGGTCATATTGCAGTGTGAGACCAAACTTGAGGAAAAGATCTAAACTATGAAAATATCTACACTGCAGTGATAAATTAGAAAAATATATTTGCAATAACTCTGGGACAGCTTCATAATGTTTGGAAGAACCCACAGTTTAATCTGAGGATGTTGTGTAGACTGTTTTTAGAGGGTAGTTTCATACACAGATCGGTAACCTGGAGAGCCTCTTTGTTTTGCACCTGCATTTATGCCTTGGAAAAAATTTTATTGCAGATGCACAAGTGGCAGAACCAAAGCTTAATACATGGGCCATATAAGTTCTGGGCCTGTCATGTATTTTGTTATTAGTCGTTCAGTCAATCTCTGTATCTGAAAGATATAGTGGTACACATAATTTGTTGACTAAGTTGAATGCAGGGCCTTGAAATTGCCATTCAGTATGCTGTTAGTGTCCTTATTGTACTTTTTATGTTATAGAGAAAGGTGGATTGATGGGTTAATTTTGATCCTTTCATTTTTGTGTGTGCATGTTTAATTCCCTGTGTTCTTTATTCTAAAAACCATCTGGGTCTCATGCTGTGAGGGTAAAACAGGGTAGCAATTGCTCTGTAGCCAACTTTTTGGGGCCCACATAACTAGACTTTTTGGTTGTTTAACCCTTTGACCCCCTAAGAGTGACTAACATCTAATTTCTCCTCACAGTATCACCCCTGAATCACACATTGAGGTCATGAGAATAATGGAAATGATCAAAATTACAAATTGTTAAGGAAATTCTTCTTGTCAGCACCTTTAGGAAACATATGGCTAACAGTATGGAGAGAATGCATACCAATGTTGGTGTGTAAAGAGTTAAGGCCTGAATGAAGTTTGTCAGTTTGACATGTTGTTCCTGGGTGGAGAGAGGACTTGTGAGAGTGAAACAATCTGTTAAGGAACACTATACTATGGCTTGGGCAGGAATTCAACCTAGACCCCTAAATACACTGACCTTTAGGCAAGCATATGTCAGTCTGTTGGTAATAAATATTATTAATTATACATGGTTTTCTCCATTTTTATGACTGACTTTCTGAAATAATTATGTTTAATTTTTAGGGGTTTGGAAGAGCAGATCACTCCATCACAGTCGAGAAACTTAAAACAGCTTACCCAGATTATGAAAGTATTACCTTCTCCAATGACGGTTATTAGAAACATGTTGAGAAATCTGAATGTATTTATTAAGTCATATTTTGTAGTAATCATACTGCTACAAGATTAATTATTTGATACATTGTATAGGATAGGACACTTAAAAAAAAGTACAACTTGAGGTCTTTGTATTTGGCAGTGCTTTCAGTAAGACTTGGTGCCTGCAAGAGCTCTTGCAAGATCAGTTGTGTAGCAAAATACCTGAAAAAATCTTGACAGCCTTAATTTGGTAAAGAAAAAATAAAATTGATACAATACTTAAAAGGAGATGTTTTATAAACTGATAGACCCCCCTAGTAATATTCATTTGTCCCCAAACAGGTTGATGGGGCAGAGTTCATTTGTGTTCTGTTCCAGACCACCAGATTTGACAAACTTTTTCCATTTTTAAACCAGAACAATTTTAGTTTCTTAAGAATGCCATGTAGGGAAAGTCCTATGTAACCTCAAATCTGAATAAAAGCACTGTTTACAAGTTGGCTAATTATCCTCTATCCATGCTCGTTACTAACAGTTTTTTACATGGATTTTAAAGAATCTTTCCAAGTAATGAATTTACATAAAATGCATCTAGAACTACTGTGCTACATTGGAGATGTAAACAAATCCAAACCTGTGTATGAGAAAAAAAATTATAAACTTCAAAAGGCACAAATATTATATACTTTGGTGGTAAACATTTTGCCAGTCAGCTAGGGCTTCATCGGTACAAAGTTATGCAAACTAAGGCTAGTTAAATTTATACAATAGGTTGCTAAGGTTCGTTATCCAAAGCTGTTTTAGCACGAGATAAAAACTGAGATTATAATTTTTATAAACAGTGGTGTACTTCTTCAAATAGTTAGGTGTATAATGATTAGGATCTTAACTAATCATACCATTACCTTGAACTGTTATACAACATGTAAAGTTTGTGATTAAGGAATAACTTCACCTTACAATATCATAACATTATCCAGCACTAAGGGAAAAAGGAAAAGATAAGTTTAGCCACAAGACTGGTTGCTATTTTGATACAATACCAAATACTCTTCACTAATTTACCAAAAAATGAACAGTTGATGAAGGGACAATTATTACTCAGATGTTTAGAGTGGAGGAAACATTTTTCCGTTTGTTTACATAATTATACAATGATATCCAAGTTTACAATGTAATGATTTGAACATCATGCCGCAAGTGTTTCCTTTTCTGTTTCACTGTTTCACTGTGCTCTGGTGCATGACCATTTTCTTGTGATGAGTTAGGAGCCAGAACAGTACCACTTTTGCAATCTGCAGATTTCTTACTTTTATTAACCCACCTCTTCCAATAGAGCCATGAAAAGAATATAGAGATTAAATACATCACTGCTTCTTTCAAAGCCTCATCAGCAGTTTGTCTTCCATTATATGACTGCCCAGCTAGAATTACAATAACAATAAGACCACAGACAGCTAGGAACCCAGCAAAACATGAAGAAAATGACTGACATTTTGAGGCGTCATTTGAAGACATGTAGGTATAAAATGCAAAGGTTGAGATACCAATAAAAAGGCAAAGTAACGAGCAGAACAACAAGACCCCAGATAGGATTCAGCATTATACCGACTAAGAGCCAACAAAAAATGGTGGGTTGCTAAATTTGCACAAATTATGAAAAGAAGTGACTTGACCTTTACACTGTAGTTATTCTGGTCGCTACCCCACACATTTCACCCATGTCACCAAAAAGACTATTGCCCCAGCAAGCACAATGACCGGTTGTATCAGTTCAATAATAAGGAACATATAATAAGGAACCATTTTCTTATCGCTGCTACTTGTATGGACTGTTACATATCTTGGTATAATTAAAACAGTGATTATTACAAACAAAAACGCACACAGGAAATCTATCGTATTTTTTCTATTGTTGTCCTTTTTTCCGAGCTCGTCCTGTTTTCTCGTTGTTGTAAAGGCCAACAATGGCCCAAACACTATTGAAAAGAGAAAGGAGAGGATTAAAATTATTTTATTCGCCAACTGTGTTCTGTAACAGAGGAAATACTTGGTTGATCTCCCTCTGTGATACATTCAGCAGAATTCAGTTGGGGTCTTTCTGCTGGCCTAACAGCCAGATCTTGGAGCTATGAAACATAAGAAAGAACTAAGTCAAATCAAACAAAAAGATGATTCTAAAAGAGTAAGCGAAAAAAGAAGTGAAGATGAGCTATGGGATACTGGAAGGTTTGGAAAAATATTTAAAAACACAGAACAATGAATCCCTGTTGGTATGTCCAGCACCAAGTCATGGGTTCTTGGTCATAATAACAGTGTACATGCCCAGCATACATGCCAACTCTCTCCCGAATAAGCCGTAAGTCTTAGGGAAAAGACACGAATCTCCCTGACTCTGGCATAGTTTGCCAAACAACTCGAATAAAAGGAAATATGAACCACTATCTCCGCAAAGATGGAGAGGCAAGAAAATTTTTCTCCACTTTAGAGAATCGTCGCGTTTCTGTTCATGGACTTTAAAGACAATTCTTTTTTAACGGATTTGAATTTGATATTTGCTTTCATTTAAGTAACTTCCAGTTTGTAGGAGATATCGAACAAAGATGCTAATTAACAAATTTAGACGAGGAGAGGAGAGAGGGTGGGGACGTGGTCCAAAATGGTACCTATCCGAATTTCTCATTTTCCAAGGGTACTAACATTTTCAGTTCCATGGATGAAGTTATAATAACTGAGGTAACAACTCTACTTTCAATTCTTTTCGGAGAAGATGTTAACAAGGTTTAAGGTGCAATGTTTTTTCCTGATTGGTTTTTTAATGTTCAATTAGAATATTTTGCTATTTCTGGTACATAATCTAAATTGGTCAAAGTACTTACAGCAGCTAGAGCGTCTTCGATGTGTTTTTTTTTTCCCTTTCGTCACATCACAGCAGGAAAGTGAAATTGTTATGTTAAGCTCCTGTGTTCGACTGGTCACCATGATTGACCATAAAGACCAAAATTCAAGAACTTTAGCAGGAAGAGCAAAGCGTACAGGCAAGAAATACTCCACGTGTATTTGGCAGCAGGAGTTGAACTTTCCGTTTTGTTGGGAGCCATAGACATTTACAAATACCCGCACTGAGGAAGGCCTCTTGGGTGGATAAAGAGCCGACTCGATGTTGAAACTGTTTTCTGATTTCGCCAAGATGTTGTAAACT